CGATATATTGATGAGGTATATGAACTAGTTTCTCCAGAGTGTCGCAAGACCTCGTATTATCGACATTCTAGTCCCAAGCCAATTAATGGGGAGATTTCGCAACCTTACGAATGCGATAGCGAATATGAATACGTCATTATCATTATCATCATTAGTGCCTAAAACATTCTTGAAAATATTCTGTAAGCTCAATATGATCCTTGATTCATACAAGCCTGGTTCTCACGAGTGACCTAATATCCGGATCGGGAGCTAACCGTTAGCGCTAACCGTTAGCACCTGTGTGAGAACGCCCGATCGGTTAGCGCTAACGGTTAGCAAGCGCTATCATCTGCCTGGTTCTCACGAGAGCCCTAGTATCCGGATCGGGAGCTAACCGTTAGCACCTGCGTGAGAACGCCCGATCGGTTAGCAAGCGCTATCGGTTAGCAAGTTGAGGGCGTTTCTATCATCAACCAATCACACGTACGCGTTTACAATTTCCAGTTTCTTATTGGCCGTGCGTCCATGCGAGAAAATCCCAATCCGGATACCAACAATATGATGATCGAATCACTGGCCAATAAGAAACTGGAAATTGTAAACGCGTACGTGTGTTGGTTGATGATAGAAACGCCCTCAACTTGCTAACCGATAGCGCTCGCTAACCGTTAGCCTATCCGGATACCGCTAACGGTTAGCGCTAACCGATCGGGCGTTCTCACGCAGGTGCTACGGTTAGCGCTAACGGTTAGCTCCCGATCCGGATACTAGGGCTCTCGTGAGAACCAGGCTTAAGCCAGTATATTCTTCGTATCCGGATTGGGATTTTAGCAGGATCCGGATCCTGCTAACTGTTAGCTGCCGCCGTGTGAGAACATAGACACAAAAGCTATGAATCGCTTACGGTGTGACGGATCGGATACTGTATGGGAAGGGTTGTCTAAACAATTGATGATGTAACTGTATTCGGTATCGTTTCCGTAAGCCTGCAAAAACTCCCTGAGAAATGGACACTCCGCTCCGAAACAGCATCAGCTCAGAGATGACTCTGTTACGACTTAAGTTACTTAAGCATAATGTTATCAAAGAGTTACATCCTGTTAATATTTAGAGTTATGATTGTTAGAACAATTTGTGTTTGTGATGATAGTGTTGACTTTAGTTTGAAGTTCACATGAGAATCTTTTAATATCCTTTAATGAATTTGGTATATCATGTTGGTATTTACAAATGCACTATAGTTTTTGTTATGTTTTATCTCCGCGGTAGGCCTAATCATTCATTAGTTTCAATTAGGAATTGATACTTCTTGAATCAGATAGGTAGGCATCGTGATTGAAGAGTTTGCAATAAATTCGTTTTCAAATGTTTGCACGTTGAATTTTCGTTATTAACAATTACACTAATTTGAAATCAACTCAGGATGCTATCATTTATCTCAAGAGTGCTATCGTACTGGACTATCATTGAGGTGCTATTATCGAAAGTGTGCAATGCGCAGATACAAAATCAATCAATTAGGTCCAGTGGTGGCGCAATGATTTGCCCGACGGGACGTCCGATCTCCTTGATGGGGGGGGGG